TTTGACACCTGACAAATAGTTACACAAATTTGACATTAGGGTTTATTGTTTTTAATCTGTCATTTTTGACATTTAAAATGTGTCATTTTTGACATTTAAAATGTGTCAAAATCGACATTTTGCTGGTAAATTTTATTGAAAACTTTGATTATGTCATTATTGATTTAATTTAAAGTAAATTTTGGATAGATTTACATGAAATTAGTGGATTTATTTTTTGAACTTTGCTTGGATAAAATCGAAGCGAATTCGGAAAAAAAGGTCGACTACTAAAACAGCATTAATTAAGGCGAAATGCCGTTTCCAAAAAGTCGTTAATGCGGCCAGTCGAGCAGCGAAAACAACCTTCCTTCCTTCTATCTCCTTCGATCTCGTAAAGGCATACTCTAGTTTTCGGTCATCTTCGAAGAAAACTGTTGTATTTCTCTCTCTCTACATTTTACAACACGCATTTAAATATGTGTGTTTATAATATAAATTATATTAAATTAAAATAACGCGTCGTGTTTATTAATTAAATTTATAACTTCCCTTCGTTAAGGCAACGGCGGCTCGCATAATGAGCTGATAAAATGAATTATTCAAATACAGAGAAGTAAAGGAAGGAAACGAAATGGATGTTATTGTTTAAATGTTAAAGGAAAAATTTTGTCGAAAGGTGGTAGCAGCGTCAGCTTGTTTATTGTATTTTTTTTTTAAACTCATTTCTTTTATTCTTTGTGCGTGAGCGAGAATTTGCTGATACGGGTGTAATGAATATGCGTAACGTTTCTCGTATTCTGGGAGGATTAATATGAAAAGGGAATAGTTTCAAAAAGTGTTGTATTTTTGCTGCCGCCCAGGCGCGAAGGGGCGCAAAGAATGCTCCCCCCTTTCTTTTTTTTTGCAACGCGTCTTAGCCAACGGGATGAGAGCGCTCGTAAAATTATCTGTCCGGACAACGGAAGCGAAGGGGCGCGCAGCCCTTTTTCCTATCTGTAAGGGTGAGAATCGGGCGCGCCGCGCCATTCGCGGCTACCGAACTGTAATAACCGCATTATTTATTTACCCTCGAGTTTATACTCGCTCATGCCATCACGCATCGCCATTATTAAAAATAAATCTGTCTCTTTTCCGCCCCTCTTTTTTGTCTGAACCCCAAATCCCCACTCGATTATATATATATATATCCTCTGTCTGTCTCTTCATATTATATAACAAGTAGGCTTTGTTTTATTGATGCGTAAAATTCATTTGTTTTTGTTTGTTTGTTGTAGAGCGCAGTATCGTCGGGACCTAGTCAATCGCCACCAGCTTCTGCATCTCAACCACCACCGACAAGTATGGCTGTGACCTCTTCGGCCCCGGCTCCGGGAAGCCCACCGACCTCGCAGAGATGCTGCGATACAGGAAGACCCATCTTCACCGACCCCATCACCGGGCAAAGCGTTTGCTCTTGCCAGTACGAACTCTTAGGTTACGGAAGGTTAGCGGGCGCCGGTGTCCCAGGAATCCCAGCACTCTCGATGTACAGTGCTCCCTACCCCGAAGGAATGGCCGCCTATTTCCCTGCCCTTGGAGCTGACCAAGCACCATTCTACACCTCAACGGTAAGCAAACATTTACAATTTATTTAAAAAAAAATCACATTTTCTATAAAAGAAACCAATTTATCAATTATATAATAATAATTGATATTTTATGCAACCATCATATAATAATATAAATAATTGAAGTAAAGATAATGTTGGATTGAAAAGTTTAGTAAATTATCACAAAGTTTATTAAAAATGATGGGATTTTCAACTAATAATATTAATTCAATTAGTTTTCTATTCATTCATTAATGAAATGTTATAGAATTACTTAATTGCAAAAACAAAATTAGAAAATCTCGCTAACTTTTACAAATTAAATTTAAAAAAAAAATCGAAATTTTCTTGAAAATATTTGAAAACAATTATTACACATCTATTATATAATAAATTTATTGCATCTATCATGTAATAATCTAAATAATTACAGTTGGAAAGAAAAGTTTAGCTTATTTTCAAAGAAAAAATCTATTTTTCTAATTTTCTATTTAAAAATAATAACAATATTTAAAGCAACTTTTATAGAATTACTTAAATAATTATTAAATCAGGCTTAAATTTACCACTTTTATCCAATTACATAAATAATTGCAGTAAAAACTGTGTTAAAGCAAAAAGTGTCAATTCACACTTTTTTAAATCAAAAAAAGTTGCTTAACTTTATCAATTTTCCATAAAAATATTAGAAAATGATTAATTAATTAAATAAAATATAACAATAAATTGAATTATGAGTCTTTCCTCTTTCATTAATAAATTTCAATACAAAAAATTCAATAAAATAAACATAAATATTATTGACAAGAGATAATCATCAAGATTAGATATATTTTCACACTAGACACGTGTTCAGTATATAAAATCTGATATACGAATATATTTTTATTTAATCACCTTTAATTATCATTATGTTTCGTACCTTGTTCCTAATTAACTTAAAAACATAAAGTTTATTCTATTTTTGTTATAAATTTTTGTCAATTTGTTTAATGATAATCTTTTTTTTTTAATATTGGAACAGCAATAATAATCTTTAATTTAGTGGAAATAAAAATGTTACCTAAATATAAAAAATTAATGAAATTATTGATTTGATTGATTACGTTTATAAATTATATAATAAAAGAAATCATTGCAACAAATTAATAAAAAATAAAACTAAATTACAAAGAATTATAAAATATTATAGACAATTATTCAAATATTGAGTAAATAAATCTAGAAACTACTGTACTATAATAATCTTTAATTTAGTGGAAATAAAAATGTTACCTAAATATAAAAAATTAATGAAATTATTGATTTGATTGATTACGTTTATAAATTATATAATAAAAGAAATCATTGCAACAAATTAACAAAAAATAAAACTAAATTACAAAGAATTATATAATATTATAGACAATTATTCAAATATTGAGTAAATAAATCTAGAAACTACTGTTTTTTTTTGGGTTTGAGTGAAATACGTGAAAATATACGAAAACTGGTTGTTTTGTAGTGGAAAATGATAATTAAAAAGTTGTGATTATGCGAGGGTAAACATAATTAAAAAGTTTGGTTTGTTTAAGACTGTCAGCGTCCGGTGAGTGTGAGTGTGTGTATGAGTGTGCGCTAAGCTAAACGGAATAATTTAGTTAACATGACAGTTAAAATTTAATTATATGTCCGGTGTGCTTTATGAATATGAATGCGGTCATTGTGAATCTTGGCCCAAGGGATTAACCACTAGAGTGAGCGAGAGCGTAGACGGAGGTGCAGTGAGCGAGAATGGAGAGAGAGAGTCCTTGTACATAAACACACCGAAGATTATGTGTACACCGAAGGAAATGTGTTTTGTCATAAATCAGGATTGGGACGTGTCTATATAACTTCATTACGGATTATTATATTAATCACGGGACGCTTGTGGTCCTGGACAAAGGACTGTGACAGGTCTTGCGCGCCTCCCTCGGACAGAAATAAGAGAAAAAAATAATGATAATCGTGAATGGAACAACACTCGAATAAGCATAAGCATACATTTGAGTATATGCATGAGAGAAATAAAGAGAGAGGGAGGAATATGAAGGATTCATCGTTAATTAATTTAACGAACGATTTTGTTCACCGGTTCAAGGCGCGTATGCAACGTATACACTCAATACATAACAACAACAGAAAAAAAAAGTTGCCAGCTCATTTATTTATTACCGATGCATCCTTCTTACCATTATATTGAAATCACGTCGCATTGTCTCCACCAACAATTTATACAAAACTTTCGTACAAAACGGCAATAATTTCCAACGCTTTATTACCATATAATTGCGACGATAATACATGTGTTCCAAAGCATTGAATACAATCGAACGTTTGTTCAAAAAGTTTTAAATTTAAAAATTGTTAAATTGTTTCATTAACGTAAATCCATACATACCATTAAAATAAACAATAAGTTAATACAAAAACTTATATTTTATAACCAATTTCGTTAATTAGAAAGTAATAAAGTTTGGAATTAACGAGTTTATAGCAAAAGAACTCTACATTCCACGATAAGATTTTTGATAATTTCATCCAAAATAAATTGTTTGTAATATATTAAACATACATTTCATAATTACAGTGAAATACATTTGGAATTAACGATTTTATAGCAATTATAAATAATACTTTCACATCTATACATTTATAAATAACAAAAATTAAGGACTTTACATTCCACGATAATATTTTCGATAATTTCATCCAAAATAAATTGTTTGTAATATATTAAACATAAATTTCATAATTACAGTGAAATACATTTGGAATTAACGATTTTATAGCAATTATAAATAATACTTTCACATCTATACATTTATAAATAACAAAAATTAAGGACTTAACATTCCACGATAATATTTTCGATAATTTCATCCAAAATAAATTGTTTGTACTATATTAAACGCACATTTCATAATTGAAGCGAAATCAATTTGGAATTTTACAATTAACGATTTTTTTTGTAGGAAATGATTGTAATTAATTTATGGAATTTTCTTTAAACAATGTAAACTCGAATAGTGACAATCGTGAATAATCTAGATAATCAAAAAAAGGTGTTGAATTCCAAGATGCTGATGGTGGATAAGACTAAAACGCATTTTTCTTGAAGGATTGATGAGGCAATTGTATTCACGGACTTCGAGCATCGTTTTAAATTTAACTCGCAGCCGATTTCGAATCAACCCCTAACAAAAAAAAATAGAGAGATTTATACAAAAATTCTCATCATTCTCTTATTTTATTTTAATTGGAATTCGTATGAATCACTACGTCTACGTGATGATGATATCAGGGTCGAGCGATTATGGACTAAATAAGAAAGAAAAAAAAATATATATTTATATAAAGATTTCCCGAAGTGTTGTTTTTGTTGTAAGACACATTAATTGTTAACACTTTTACAAGACCTCCAGCTGACCCTGAACTAAGATTAGCTATCAGCGAGAGGAAGAGAAAAAAAAAGAATTCATAAACAACATGGAACAGATTTGTTATTACCAAAGATGGTGGATGAGAAAGATGATAGGAGGAATCAAAAAAAAAATTAAAATAAATTACGTGGAGAATCTCGTAACGGTTTCGAAATCGTTGCGCAATTCGATGCCAAGGGCTTCTATTGGATCCAAACGATTTGTTTACAGTTTTTTTTGCATAATGTCGATAATGAGTCGATCTGCAGGAAGCGGTCTAAGGTCTCGTTTCGATAAAAATCGGTTGGGTAATGGATGTGTGAGGGAACGAGAAAGACAAAGTGAATGGAAGAGAGACAAAGGTTTTTGAGTCTCATAATTCTTTGGGGCCGGTGATTGGAAATGGGGGGGCAGCAGCAGCAGTAGCAGCGAGTGCACACGATTGAGTTATAAACGTTTCTGGTTTATTGCGGAAACAGTAATGGATATATGGAAATCAATTTGTTCTGTTTCCGGCGCGCTCTCGGTTTCCATTACTTCGGGAATCGGCCAATTTCCGTTGCATAAAGTAGAAACGCGTGTATAATAAAGTATAAATAGAGAACGGTTCCGGGTACCCTATTAATAATAGTAAACCCCCCTTTTTTGACCCCCCTTCGAACTTAGTTTCTTTTGCTATTTTGATGTCCATTCCAACTTATCTCCATTCTGTAGCCAGAGGAGTTGCTACGAATGCCCGGGGCCCCACGGAAATTGAAGCCCCCAAATAGTGTTAATTACCCCTCGCTCTCACTTTTTTTTTATGTCGCTGCCCCCATTTTCTATTTGTGCCCGGGGCCTCAAAATCCAAGCAATGATGATGATCGCAATTATTTATTTTTGTTTCTTCGTTGATTCGGGCCACGGCAATAACGTATGCACACACATGTATGTATCGTGAATACGTAATTCCTCGAGTCACGTTCAAACAGAAATACTCTGTGCATGCCGCTTATTGTGATCGCCCCGATAACAATAACCGACGGAACGAGAAGTAATGCACACAGCGCACATATTTATTGACCGTGCACCGCAACATCGACAAAACCTTCTCCAAATAGAACTCAATTTAAACCAAAAAAAAAAACACATCACAAAAGCAATTTTAAATCTTCATAATTACCAAACTAAACCAAATATTTCTTTCTAATTAACTGGAACAAACAATTTTCTAGAAAATGTTCAGGAAAGTAGAATTACCGTTTATTTTTTTACCATCCGATGTAGAAATTTGTTGGGTCTAGAAATTTAGAAATTAATTGATTACAAATATCAATACAAAATCAGTAAATAAGTAAATTTAAATATAATTGTTAATAAAGTTTTGAAAATAAATGTTTTGCATGATTAATGTTAAAAATATGTTAATAATAATTGCGTGACATGTTTTACTTTAATTTATTTTGGCATTGGAATTATGCAATATGCGAACTCACAAAAAAATGTATGTTTCATCGTTGAAAATTGTGATAATTATAAGTTTTCGTATCTTTAAAGTATTCCAAAATTAACAATTTGCAAAATTTATTTACATATTTTTATTTCCCATACAGTTTCTATACTTAACAATAATTAGTTGATACATTTCTATAATAATTAATAATATGTGTATCTACTTCAATTTCTTTAGAAGTATTCACAAAAATTAAGTTTAATAATATGTTTTTGTTTACGAATTACGAACTGAACAAATTGCAACTTATTAAATAAACTTTGAAAATTGTATAGCAACAAACTTAATTTTGTGATAAATTTGTATAAAAATGATAGTCTTATAAACTTAAAACTATCTAATTAATATTAATTAGTTAATAATTAATGATAAGAAAAAATATATGTTTCTACTTTAATTTCTTTAGAACTGTACAAAGTATACATAAATATTAGGTTTCATTGTTGTAAATTGTTTTAATAATATGTTTATGTTATCTCCAAATATATAATAATTACGGAATGAACAAATTGCAACTTGTTAAAATGATGTAACAACAACAACAACAAAAAAGTTTTTAAACGTAATTTGGTGATAAATATATATTTTTCAACTATAATTATATGACGTTTTCTACTTTTGCTAATGGAAATATTTCGAACAAGAACTTTTTGAAAACTTGATTGTATTTCATTTGCAAACGAAACGTTGTTCGATCCGTTTACAAAATGGATGAACTCGGATAATTGTATGTTGTAGGCAGTGATCCAATCCGAATTGATCATACCCGAAATTCCATGCGAACCAATTGCCAAACGCGAATCGAGGTCTGCTATTTTCGGGGTCGTTAAATGCACCAAAAAAATAAAAAAGAATCTTCACCGCACAGATCTCAACACAAAACCAAAGAGAAAAAGCAGTTCAAATTTTGCATATTCGAGTACACGAAATTAGTTTGTGAAAGAAATTTGAAGACAATAAAAATTTAAAACAAAAGTTGAGACCATAAAAGTTAATCTCTAGTTTGCGTTAATAAATTTAAATAAAATTAAAGTCCATGTAAGTAGCCGTAACCTACTAGATCCGAACTGGTATATATCTGATCCGGAGGAATATATTTCCATGCGAACGCATTACAACTCGAAGAGAGTAGGAATGTTTACGAACTGAATTTTATCTTCATCTTTATTTCTCTGCTTGTGTGCATATTTATCTTCCTTGTGTTTTTCGTCTGCGTATTATTCTGGTGAGAAAGATTATCCATAGCAATTGGCAAATTTACCTTGCTTCCTATTCGAGGTTTCCGTTAAATGTCGATGCGTGCCAAGAATCCTGTTAACACGTGTAATTAGGCAACGGACATTTTGGCACTGGTCCTCGGATCAGTCGGATCGGAAGCCAGGAGATTCGAAAGATCACGAATTCTTAATGCGAACGATATAATTAGTCCGTTTTTCAATTAACATGTAGAGATTGTGGGTAATGCGACGTGGCGAAAAAATCCGTTCATGGAATTATGTGTTAATATATCAATTAATGAATGCCGGGAGGCTGTTGTTAATATGTTTTCAAATAAAATATAAATTAATAGATGAATGGGGCCGGAGGTCATGTTTAAAATTAGTTAGCGATAATCCCACTTTGTTTTCTTTTTGATGCGTTCGAGAAATTGATTTCCAACTCTGTACAGCAATAATCATATTAATAATGATGATGATGGAGTACTCACTGACTGATGATGATGTGATGATTGCTTTTGATGATGTTTTCTAATTGGATTGTTTGTTTGCAGGCCGCAGGATTAGAGCTGAAGGAGAATCTAGCGGCGGGCGCCGCTTCCTGGCCTTATCCCTCGGTTTACCATCCCTACGACGCCGCCTTCGCCGGATACCCATTCAACGGGTAAGTCAAATCATTGAAGATGATGATCTTAAGGGTTGTCCTAAAAAAAAAACGAGAAAAATTCCATTCATTCTTCTCCTCCTGTTTTTTTCCCATCTTCGTTTTCTTCAAGACGTGCGTTAAATTAATCACCTCTGGACGTGTTCCAACATATCGCATAGCAAATGCGATGATTGATCGACTGCGGAGCTACTAACAAGCAAAGGAAGAGAATACAAATATATATATATAAAAAAAACGAAATAATTGTGCATAACAGAAGGATAAAAATCTTGTGGCTGGCGCGTATCCTATCTCTTCGGCGCTGGCGCTCCCAGAGGTTACGATATTTAAATTTTAATTATTCATAATTATGTCAGGAGCGATAAGATAAGTCGTGCAGTGCTTCTGAGAATTGTTCACATTATTTGGTCATTAGTCCGGATTATGAGTTTGCTACATTGTTTTTGATGGAGCTCGAAGGAGGAATATCTTCTTCGATGGATAACGATGAAATTTATTGCTTCTTAATATACACACAATTCAAGATCAACACAATCGTTGCTCAATTTTCATGATTACGCCAAGAAGAGATGAAATAGTTTCTTATTTTTTTTTAGATCAAATCAAATTAATGTTGTTAAACTAATACTTAAATAAATTGAATTTTTGAAGTGTTTATAGTTGAGGTATAAGGTGTGTTGTTTTGTGAATAACTTTGTTGGTTTTGGAAAAGAAACTGATTGGTAATAATGGGCTTGCAGCAATTGAAATGCAGGTTGTCGTTTCGGAAGTAGAATTTCGTGGTTTCCGCATGTTCAAGCGCTGGTATATTTGGTCAACGACGTGTTGGTTTGTAGTGTTTAGTTGGTTAGTGCTGACGCGTACAAGAGACGTTGGCCTCTGTTAGCACGTGGACGGAAGACCCGCACCAATTACACAACTTATTGTCGCCGCGACTAGGAACGACTTCTCCAACTTTTCCATGTGTGTAGTAGACACTCATACATACACACACATCCATGTATATACATATAGGCATATATGCCTATTGCATCCGAGCCGCTGCAGAATGCCTATTAAGAGTGACTCATGCGCCACGACCGGCATGCAGATTTAGTGTTATAGCACGGCTGATTGATTGCCTCTTAGAATGCCGGGATTAACATTAACCGTAAATCCGCGCGGAAAAGAAGATAAAACGGATCGAGCGCGCCTCAATAATTTCATTAATTTGCGCAAAAAACCTAACCGTCACACTCCTAAAACGAGCGCCGACTTTGATCCCCGATCCAGGTGCTTCCGAAGATCAACTCTCTCTCTTTATGTGTCCCATGAGGGGAGGGTTGGTTGGTTGGTTGAACGCGCAACCAACGGATGAGGTTGGAAAGTTGACGGGAACGGATTAGGGCCGCCGGGCCGTGTAATTAAGTGCAGATAAATCATCGGTTTTTTTTTTTATTTGCATAAGAATTTTGTCCCTTTATTATTATTTTTTCTTTCTGTTGTGTCACTCCATCGGGAGTGTCAGATGGATGTGATGGAAGCGCCTAATGACTGGGCTGGGTGTTTCCATTGAATCTTTCCGCACAAAAGGTGTCAAAGGCAGAGCAGGGCGATTTGATCGGTGTTCGGATAACCTTCGGACAGGTAATCGATGCGGCGTCGATCATTAGCAAAATTTATTATGTAATCCGAGATTTAGACAACAAAAAAAACATATAATGAATGGATGGATTATTTTGTCAAAAAGAAATTAAAAAAAAAGATGATATGATTCATTTACGTATAGGTCCAATCAAGGCAACTATTTCTTGAACTGATCAAGTTATTCTATATTTAGAGGAGATATGTATCATTATTATCATGGTTTGGAAGATGGTGTTGGTTGGGGCTATGATTATGGCCGATGGTCCACGCGCAGCCTCCTCATCGCCTACGCGTTTATTGGCACTCTCTGGAGCGGAAGCGATCTGCATGGCGCGCTCCGATTAGCAATTGCTATGGTAACAAGCTGATAATGCGATCAGTTAGCGTTTGGGGGGAAAGCGCGAGGGATGTTGGAGGTGGCGGAGAGGAGGAGGACGATGAAAATCTCTTTCTATCTCTCTCTCTCTCTTTCTACTCTGAGCACTTTTATACGCCTCTCCTCCATCCATCCCAAATATCTGTCTCTCCCTCTCACACATAGAATCATACGCAGGCTGCATTTTAAATCGCGCGCCTCCATTTCCCGCTGACAACTTTATTAATTTCGCACTCCCTCATCCCGCGAAGAGAGGGAGATGAGGAAGAGCAGCAGTATGAGGAGGAGGAGGAGGACACGCTCCATCTTTCCCCTTGGAAATAATCAAAATGCACCGCCGCTTGTGTGTATATATATATCTGTTATTTGATGCGCCGTGACAGGTTGTTTCAATTTCGCACACAACTCCCCAAAGTGTCTCGGGTGGGAGATCTTCCTTCCACCATCTGCCTCCGCCTCATCCTCCTCCTCCTCCTACTCATCCTCCGCCAACGGCAAACACAGCTATCTTATCAAAATCCGACCGTTTCGCAATCGCCATTGCACTCTCCTCTCCATCCTTCTCTAATCGATGCCATCCCGGCAGAAATTTAATTTCGATCTCGTCAATTCAGCACTTCCCCAAACTTTAATCTCTGATAAAGGTTAAGCCCCGTGATCGCATCCGAATGGAAATGGGAAAGAAAAAAAAAACTTTTTTCTACAGCATCCCCCTTATAATATGTTCTTTTTTTCTTCTTGTTTTCCCTTTCCATCAGGTACGGCATGGATCTGAACGGGGCGCGAAGGAAAAACGCGACACGCGAAACTACGAGCACCTTGAAGGCTTGGCTCAACGAGCACAAGAAGAATCCGTATCCGACGAAGGGCGAGAAGATCATGTTGGCGATCATCACGAAGATGACGCTGACGCAGGTCTCGACGTGGTTCGCGAACGCGAGACGGAGATTGAAGAAGGAGAACAAGATGACCTGGGAACCGAGAAATCGGGTCGAAGACGAGGACAACAATAACGATGACGACGATCACAAGAGCACCGACGGAAAAGATCTCATCGGTAAGTAGAATATCACGATTGCAATTTCTACTCAACTCATACAAAACTTTATGATGAAACAGCTTAGAAATTATTAACCATCATTAACTAATAAGAAATTACAGAACTTAATAATTTGATTTATCTAACCGTGAGACGAGTCTTATCTTACTTTAATTATGCAAAGAGTAATTTACATAGATATTTCGTAACTCAATAAGTCACGAAATCTTCTGATTTATGCAAACATTAAGTAAGCATGATACTTTACAGTACGAAATGGTTGTTTGCTGAAAATGTTGGAGTCCAAAGTGGAAAATTTAATTTGGGTTGTGTTTTGTGCTTGCTGATGTTACAGATTCGAAGGATTCGGGAACAGGATCAAGCGAGGACGGCGACAGACCGACTCATCCTAGATTAGCACCGGACACGGGCAGCGAATGGAGCGAGTCGAGACCGGACAGCGGCCCGGACAGTCCGGAATGCCTGTACGACAGATCCCATCCGGCCTTCCTTCCACCAAGGTCTTCGGGTTCTCCACCTCAAATCTCAGCGTCGGTGGCATCGTCGAAACCGAGGATATGGTCGTTGGCCGACATGGCCAGCAAGGAGAGCGACGCGCCCACGCAATCCGCCTCTTCGTCATTCTACTCGACAGCAGCTGGTAGATTGGTGGCACCTCTAGGTGGTAGATTACCGCCTCCAGGCATCCACGCTTCGCCCTACGCCCGCACCCACGAGTTCTACAGGAGCCTCTACGGACCTGCAGCGGCTCAGCATCTCGCAGCTGGTGGAAGCGCCGGACCCGTGGACGTCTCCCTCTTGGAGTCGTACTCGAGGAGTTTCGGTTCAGGACTGGTTGGAACGAGCAGCGCCACAACCGCGTCCATGCTGAGCAAAGCCACCCTCTCTTCGCCCGGCATCAGCGGCCTTCCCTTAGGTCTGACGACGAACGCATCGAGGATGTCGCCATCCTCGACGTCCTCCATCTCCTCCGGCTCCGAGACACCCCTGAAACCGGTCGCATTGAACAAAGCCTGACTGCCGGCCTCATCCTCCCTCTGGCCCTGATCTACTACCTCCGGAAGTGTACATAAAAGAGTGGACAATAAGTAAAACAATACACAAATAATAAAAAGACTAGGCGGCGTTGAGGCCCCGTAGTAGTGTGCTCTGTACAGTCAATGTGATATACCTTTTGGTTCCTTAAGTTTTAATCGTTGCGTCAGGACGCTGCATAGTTCATTTGTATATATAAATAACTAAAACAACAACAACAACAACAGAAGATGAAGAAAGATCCAAAGCAGAACCCCCCAAAGCGCCCATCCCTCCCCCGAGACTGCGCCATCCGCTCGCAGCAGTATAAATCAACAACAAAGAGGACAACAACAACAAAAACAACAATATCTTGTATCTATATGTATGTAATTAGAGTAGTAGAAGAGTAAGTAAGAAAAAAATAATATTTGTTATTAAAACTATTATTATTATTACTAAATAAGGATAATATGCATACAAAGTATAAGTTACATAACAGAATAAAGAATAAAAAAAGTATATAGAGAAAAAAAAATGGCATTGTATATTACGAGAAAAAAATAATAAAAAAAATAAAATAAATAATAATTATATAATCGAGAAGACAAGGTACATATATAATATAAACACACACTCTCTCAACGGACACACGTTTTCAAATCTCTGTAAACCGTTCATCTTTCCGCATTTTAACATATCATCAACATCATTAGTTTGTTTATTAACCGAACTTTATTATTATTATTGTTAATAATTTTTCATTTCTCCGTTACAAAATTTCTTTTCTTTTATCTCTCTCTCTCTCTCTCGATACTTGTCTGTTTGTACAAATATCAAGTTTTACCAATAATTCGTGTGTTTAAGCTGCAATAAAGTGAATCGTTCATTATTTATAAAAAAAAAAACAAACTTCGAGTTTCATTTCACTCTCTCTCTGTTTCTCAATCCACGGCTTTTGTTCGGCCGTTGCAAGGCAGACCCTTTCTGCTTTTGCGAGGTAAGTTCCGTGAGGTCTGACCATCAGTTTTAGAATGGGTACGACAATAGACATGTCAATGGAACTAATATCGAAGGGACCACCGGCCGAGGACACCGATTTAGATTCCACCGGCCATGCATCAATTGCAGCTGAAGACCTCCGATCCTCTCTACAAGACTCCAATATTATTTAACTGCAAAAGAAAAATAATAAATAAATAAAAGGTTTGTCGCATTTACTCCAACAAAATTTAGTTTAGTTCTAAAAGCTTCAGTTTGTATCTATACATTAACTTCACTTTCTATAGTACCGTTATTTTCAACACAACCTAAATTGATGATTAATTCACTAATAAAGCAATACCTCGAATAGTGCGGCTTCGATCAGTCCGAATTCACTGCATCAATTGCAGCTGAAGACCTCCGATCCTCTACAAGACTACAATAATATTTAACTGCAAAAAAAAAAATAAATACATTTACTCCAACAAAATTATCGCACCAAAAAGCTTAGTTCTGAAAACTTCAGTTTGTATCTATACATTAACTTCACTTTCTTTAGTACCGTTATTTTCAACACAAAATAAATTGATGATTAATTCACTAATAAAGCAATACCTCGAATAGTGCGGCTTCGATCAGTCCGAATTCACTGCATCAATTGCAGCTGAAGACCTCCGATCCTCTACAAGACTCCAATATTATTTAACTGCAAAAGAAAAATAATAAATAAATAGAAGGTTTGTCGCATTTACTCCAACAAAATTATCGCACCAAAAAGCTTAGTTCTGAAAACTTCAGTTTGTATCTATACATTAACTTCACTTTCTTTAGTACCGTTATTTTCAACACAACCTAAATTGATGATTAATTCACTAATAAAGCAATACCTCGAATAGTGCGGCTTCGATCAGTCCGAATTCACTGCATCAATTGCAGCTGAAGACCTCCGATCCTCTACAAGACTATAATATTATTTAACTGCAAAAGAAAAAAATAATAAATAAATAGAAGGTTTGTCGTATTTACTCCAACAAAATTATCGCACCAAAAAGCTTAGTTCTGAAAACTTCAGTTTGTATCTGAACATTAACTTCACTTTCTTTAGTACCGTTATTTTCAACACAACCTAAATTGATGATTAATTCACTAATAAAGCAATACCTCGCATAGTACGGCTTCGATCAGTCCGAATTCACTATAATCCGATTTAAAAATATCAAAAGAAAGTAAATTAGTACAGAAAATCATGTTTTATACACAAATGATCGTCTTGATATTTCGTACTTCTTTGCTGGATATTTCAACATTGATTTGTAGTGTTAAAGAAAATGATAAATTAGTGAGACGTTACGAAATTTGTATCTGCATAGTTCACACAATCTATATTGTAATGTACAATTTACATATTTAAAAAAAAAATAATATTTTTACAACTAAAATCAAGTGCGTATTATACACGAATTATACATTTTACTAGAATACTTTAGTATATTTTAAACACATCGAATCGTGCATAATACATTCGATGTACGTCATGATGAGATTGAATAAAATTATTGAAAGTATACTGTTTATTTTTACAAGTAAAATTAGTTTGAAACGAGGAAAAAAAAAATAAATATACAGATAACAAAAAGATAAATTGTGTTTTGATTTTCTTTTTTACTTCATTGGTAATTGGCCATTAAAAGTTTGTTATTTATAAATAAACATAATGAGACAAAAATATGAATAAATAAATAATTTTAAAATTCCAATTAGGGCAAAAAAAAATATGGTGACAGTTAAATTAAATTAGAATGTATGGAAATAAAGATAAAAATAAGTAATTTTCAATTCAAATTTTGTGAGTATGGAAGTAATAAATATAGACTTCTGGGAATAAAGATTTAAGTTTATTGATGTGTGTTTTAATAACGTGTTAATGTTAGGTGTTTATGGTCTTGGAAATTGTTTATGGATGTGGACAAAGGAGGATGAGTATGTCTACGATGATGATGAGAGGTAGGTTTTAGGAGCGTCGCCAATGTTGGAGACGGGATGGGGAAAAATGGAGCAGAGTGGAGTGGAGTGAAGAGAGATGGACGGAGAGAAGATGGTCAGAGAAGAAGGAGACTCCATAAATCGCGGCATATAGATAAATATAAGAAGCTGGTATCTTCATTATAGCGGTGGGTCGTGTCCTTATAGGGCTAAATTGGCCTGTGTTGACAACCGATGACAACATCATCAGTGGTCTCCCTGATGTTCGAGGGACATTGTTTTTCGCCGCATGAAACATTCATCGGTCGCATTATTAATCGGTAGGTAGTTAATGCAGTTAGCTTTGGAACATGTGCAGACATCATGAGAAGCCGGGGGCGGATGATCTCTCTCTCTCCTTCTCATCTCACATTCCTCATCCACCGAAAACTCTCTCTACATTGCACATATCTCACGCGGCTAATTAGTGCCTGTTTTCACGGCTGACAACCGTATGTCAAACAACGCTCGAGATACACCTATTTTAGTGGTACTCCTCAGCAACAACAAGAACAAACGAACAAGAAAAAAATGCTTCAACTTAAAAAGACCGGGCAAAGAACAGTTGAAGAGGAAGAGGAAGAGCCAAGCAGCATGGAATTATTTTTGCCGAGGACGAAAATAAAACGTCCCCAAACTCGGGACACATGTCTTCCACGCATCACACGTGATAACAATTATACGCACTATTAAACTCTAAATATATTACGCTCTTCCCCTCCGCTTCTTTCTTCGTCATCTCGCAGCCCTCTCAGCCTCTTAAAATCGATTTAAAACGCGTTTCGACTTCACCCAAAAACAGTATAATAAACATTTTATTGCTACCTTTTAAAATTACGATCTCATTTCAACCCTCCAGAAACCTCAAACCTGCTTTTACTCAAAAATCAACTAAAACTTTTTTTTATATATATATATTTCCACATTCTTACTCGAAATTCCACCAACTCACGTTTTAAGTACAAACTCTGTTAATTTACAACATTTTTAACTCAATTTCAAAGATCCTTTATTAAGTAAATAATTGCTACTTTTCCCTAACAAAATATAAATCTAAAAATCCAATATTAAAATTTTAATTAAATTATACAAAATAAGAAAATTTCAGTCTAATAACATGGAAATTCAATCCCACTTATTTTGATGAAATAGGATCAATCATTAAAAAAATACAATTTACTGATGAATCTAATATCTTTATAATTTTATAACTTTATATAAAATTTTGTATAAATATTTTGTTAATGTATAAACTACTAAATATTTTTGTATATTAGTTAGCAAAATAGATAGGAAAATATGAATGCAAAGTCATTTAGATGAGATTTCAAAAAATTTCAAATACAGAAAATACGTTTGTATTTTCTGTATTTTTTTCCTTATATTTTCTCAACAATAAATACTCTTAGATACATTCATAATATTTCAATTAAACCAAATTTATTTATATTAAAATATCGTAAACATTGAAGAAAATACGTATAAATTACTTTTGATTTATTTACTTCATTTCACAGAAAAAACTATTAACTATTTTCTCTAAAAAAAAAACAGAAATAATCTTGCATAAACAGATATTATTTCAATTACCATTATTTTATATTCAAGCAGTTAAACTATAGATACTTTTTGATTTATCTATTACACTTAATAGGAAAAGTATAGTGGAAATTATCAATTCCTTAGCGAAGGTTTCATTTCTTTCGAACGTCGGGAATGCAACGCGAAATGTTTACACCGCATGCAATACAAAAGTCTATTTGCAATTTGCATTCGAAATATAAAAAAAATTCAAAAAATAATAACGTTTTTATTATTCGCATTTTATCGCTATGTTAAAAGTATTTGCAAATTTACATACAAATAAAAATCCTTCTATTTACAAAATTTCTTCATTTTTTCTAGTTGATTAATTATAATTTAACAGTTTATAATCAATTAATTATAATTTAAGAGATTTTTTTAGTTTTTATGATTTATTATTACAAAATTTTATAAATAATTACAGACAAATAAGGAAAGTTTTTTTTGTTCAAATTTTTAATAATGTAAATGATCAAGACGGGTAAATTTTGTTGAATAATGTAAGTTTGTTTCTATGAATTGAATGGAGTTGTTGAGTTCAGTTCCAAGTTGTGATTTTGACGTGGAAGTTGAGTAGTAAAATTTAGTTAATGAAAAGATTTTGTATTGCAATTATTCAAAATTTCACAAATAAGAAAAGATGTATGATCAAAAAGAGTATATTTTGTTGTATGATACAAAACCTATTCAATTTTTGTTATATATGATCAAAATGAGTAAATTTTGTTGTATCATTATAGTTTCTTTTGGTGATGAATGAAGTTGTTCAGTTTAGTTAGAAGTTGTGATTTTGACGTGGAAGTTGAGTAGTAA